GTCAGCCAGTTATCAATCGGTGCATTTTTAGAGTTTCTTCTTCTCTTCGATTTCACACAATTTGTTTCGAATTCTTCTCGTGGCTTCGACACGTAATTGTTTATTTATTTATCTAGATACGTACGTATGTAACATATGTATACTTCAATCTTTGCAGATCATTTCACGATTTCGCCTTACCTGCAGTAGGATTCGGATTAATTTTAATTTATTACACCACTTAAGTGATAAATTTAAATTAGTTTCGGACGTAGAATTTTTATCACCAAAACACAAAAAAAAAATAATTTACAACTATTTTATATTTTTTTGTTTCTGAGTTACTTGTATGACTATATTTAAATAATTAGCAACCAATAATTAATAATTACAGTATTTAAAATATTCAATTTTAGTACTATTCAAAGTATTTAGCTAAATAAGTTTTGGAATGTGTGCGAGTATGACTAAATTGATATTAAGTTGAGAGCAACACTAAATTGTGTTGGTAATGCAGTACAAACTTATTTAGCCGTGTTTAACCTAAGCTAAATGAGACTAAATTGTTGTAGTGTTACACTCTATTGTTATTTTCCTGAATTACTTAATAAATCTTATAGTGAATGTATATGAATTATTTAATAACATAAAATAATATGGAAAAAGATGTTATAAAAACCTATTTCTTAAAAAACCTTTCCTAATATTATATCGTTTTTTAAGTGCTTTATGAAACTTCGTATAAAAAATTTTGAAATTTTTTAATTTTTCATTTAATATAGTCATTATCTATATAAATATTACAGACGTTTTGAAGTTTATTTGACTTTTTACTCAATAAAATAAGCTCCATTCATTCAATAATATAAGAAAATGGCTATAGCTTTTGGAAATGTTCTATATCCATAATTATTTGTTATTTTGATTAGGTGCATTGCTAATTTTTAGATAACTAAGTAGTCTTCTTCTGTGTTCCATTAACTCCCAGTGGAGCATAGGGCTTCAAATTATTAAATAGTACAAGTATACAGTTTTTAATACATTATATGCTTCAAAGTGCATATTATTAAAAAAATACTATATATATTTTGTCAATATTTTATTTTATTTTATTTTGTTTTATTTTATTTTATTTTATTCTATTTTATTTTATTTTATTTTATTTTATTTTATTTTATTT